CTTCTCTTGCCCAGTTCTGAGATCACACCCAATTCATTTTATTAATTGTAATTAGTTTAAAGTTACTTTATTCATAAAATCCAGAACATGACTTATAATGAGGAAGCAAAATAGAAGTTTGAACAAGTAATAAAATATGCTATTCAGCAGAATTTGCCCTTTACTAGCTGATAAATCATAATCCATAAAATAGTCATTTAAAAAGCATTTTTTAGTAATATATTTATAAATATATTATAACAACACAACACCGTACATCGAATATAGAAATAAATAACAACTGATATAAAGAGTTTTTCAAGATTGAGTACATATTAGTCAAAATCGTTTTCATAAGTAATACAAACAAAAAGATTTGGTGGAACCTCTTTCAATCCTTGAAATGCATTGTGGTAGCATTTATGGCATTCAATCTAGATTCTTTCTCTTTATCTTCACAAAAAATTACTTTGCATGACAAACAAGGTTTTTTGCATACTTCCACAACTTCTGCTGAAGTATTTTTTTTGCATCAGTGTTCAATTTTTTATTTCAAAAACATACTTCGGTTATTGATTTATTCTTATTTTTAAGAATTATTTATTTAGTTAGCTAGTTTTTTTTATTTCTGATTCAATAGTTCTCGATGAAGTTTTTTTCTACATTTTTATCATCAATATTATCTAATTTCGACAATGAAATTTTGGTACCAAACAATGGTAAGGATGCAAAGGATACTGAAATTTAATTTTTTTTATTGTTGTTGCTTTAATCATTTTAAAACGATCTAGTTTTCTTTTCTCGGCTTATACAGCTTTAGTATGTTTTCATTGAGTCGCTTATCAACATTAGTAAGTTAAAGTTGTTTTCTTTCATGCTTCTTTCTTTCCTCTTGAATTTTATCCTGGTGATATTTCAGTTTTACAGAGTATGCTTCATAAGAAACTAAAACAATGAACTTATATTGATATGCTCTGTTTGTTACCTTTTTTTTATGCAATGACCAAAAATATGCCAAGACATCATTATCTACATCAATTGTAGAGCATTTTGAATAAAACAATAGATGTACAATAGATGTACAAATATTCAAATATGTTCAAAATATTATTTCTTTATTTACTAAAAGTTGCATTTGTGTTGTAAAATTAATGATTATTTCATGAAATAATTTACTCACCTGAGTAAGAATAATTTGCACACGAATAACTTGAATTTGCAACAGAACTTAATTTTGTGGTTATAATTTGTCTACCATCATATTTAATAAAGCTGAGTAAAATTGGTATAACTATTTTAATCGAAATCTTCCTCTTTTTTTGAAACATTAAAACCTGTATTAAATGAAAATATATTTTCATCTTTTTTAATAATGCTTGATGAAACTTTTTCTACATTTTTGACATCATTAGTATCGCCGATAAAATTTTGGTACAAACCAATGGTTAGGATGCAGAGGATATTGAAATGGACTTCTTTTTCGTTGTTTTTTTTTTTAGCCCAATCTACTTTTCTTTTCTCGATCTACTTTTACTTTTCTTTTACTCTTCTTATCTCAAATACAGATGATTTATATCCTCCATCACTTGTTTTAGCCATGCTATATTTCAAGACAGAACCTAGATAAATAACATTATAGCACAAAATATCATATTAGTTTAACAAAATGTTTAAAATATTTAAGAGCTAAAAAATGTTAACATACGGTAAAAACCATATGGTAATATTTGTAACCTAACCCTATTCCAAAATAGCGGGAATAACGTTCGGGAATAATGTCCAGGATCTGGATGTTATCCAGTGAAAACAGTTACCCAGTGGATGATTCCAAATAAATTCCAGGTAAATTTCTGTATTATTAGTTTACATAACCTGCTCAATCTATTCTCGCCCACGCATTAAACGAGAATATATTCATTCTGTGGGCGAGATTGAGTTAATTTTGGTAGGTTGGGCAGAAAGCAATTTTAAACACAATCTATCATTTCAAAAATAGAAACTTTACTATACTTAAAGAATAAACTACGGACAACAAAATAAAATTATAAGCTAAAATGCACAACAAAATATTTTCTCCGTTGAGTTGCTTTAGTTAGTTTGTAATCGGCAAATTAGGTAGCGAAAAACTTGCAAGTTTTTCGCTATCTGCAAGTAAAATCAGCATTAAGCAGAATCAACAAAATTGCTTCGATTGCTTCTTTAAAGAAGCAATCAAAGGGGTTATTCATTAATTACTCAACAAAATAGGGGGAGGGGGTTTGAACTTTTTTGACAACTGTTGACAAGGTGGAAGGAGGAAGAATTGACTTCTTCCTTAAATTAAAGTTGATGTCAACAATTTTTTTTTTTGAGTTTCATTGCTTAAATAACGGAAAATTTGTAACGTAGCTTCTTTGTATAGGGGAGGGGGGTAATCAAAAATTGACATAATTTTATAGGGGGGTCTTTTTGGTTTTGTTATTACTTTCATCTTTTGTTGTTTTGTCTTTGTAAAGCGCACCAACTATTTGTAAACATCAATTGTTCATGGATTTGTGCGCTCAATTGTTCATGAAAGTGTTCTCTTAAAAAAGTATTAATTTATATTTTATATGATATTAATTGTCATTAAATTTGAAAGATCTTCATTAAAATTGTTCTCAATTATTTCAGTTTCATAATAACCGTTTTTCAAAACGTATGCATTTCAAATAACCGTTTTTCAAAACGTGTGCATTGTCGGGGAATCGAACCCCGGTCCCCCGCGTGGCAGGCGAGAATTCTACCACTGAACCAACAATGCGTTGTGGTTGAAGGGTTTATTATTTCTATGTTATATAACTATAAAACACTTTTTTGAATTTTTTTTTTATTAAATATTAAACATTTTCCAAAGATCAATATTTTCTTTCATACGTTTTTTATTATAATTACCTTTACCTAGAATTTGTTTTATAGTTATATAGCATATATTATCTAAAACTTTATATATTCTCTAGAATTTGTTTTATATCTGATAATATTAATACGCTAATTTAATAGTAGTTATAATCGACTTACGGCTTTTATATTTTAAAGTCGTTTCTAGATTTTTCTTTACGCGGTTGTTTTTTTTACTAACAACCCGTATTAGGGGTTGCTTACTGCTAGTAATAAAGTACTACAAGAATTGTCATTAAAACAACTTTACCTAGAAAATTTCTGGTAAATCTCAAGTGGCTTAAAATAATTTCATTTTTCGTTTTAAAAAAAGGTGTAAAAATTGGTACCATATATGATATTAGGTACACGCATATCGTGATTTACGGAACCGATTTTTTTGCTAAAATTTTGTGACTCGTTTTTTTCACTTCTTTTTAGGCAGCGTGGGGTAAACGTAATTTTGTGGTGTTTCTTTTTAGAAACATATATACACATAGATACTTTTTGGAAAGAAGAGAAGCTAATCTTTACTTTTTTAAAACTTTTATGTATGGTTACTAGACTTTTTAACAGATTATTTTGCTCCTGAATATTTGGTTGATGTTTTCACATGAATTTGCAGTCGAAGGCATGTCGTGTCCGCTTTTTTTGTTATTCAGGCAATTTTTTACATGCATTTTCTATTTATGTGCCAAATTTTAACGAAAAATAATTGGGAGCAGATATGTTACAAGGTGCTTTATTAAATATACTGCTTTTTTTAGGTAGGGTTAGACAAACGTTTTTTGTGGTGTTTCTTTTAGAAACATATATAAATAAAAGTTATATTTGGAAAGAAGAAAGGTTAGGCTTGATTTTTATAGTACTTTTATGTATAATCACTAAACTTTTTTATGGTTAGTTTTGCTGAAAACTTTCAAGAAAATTTCGTTGATGTTCTCACATTAATTTGTTGTCGAAGGAATGTCGTTTCCGCTTTTTTTGTTATTCAAACAATTTTTTACATGCATTTTCTTTGCACATGCCAAATTTCAGCAAAAAATAATTGGGAGCAGATAGTTTAAGAAGTGTAGGACTTTCGGTACCTAAATTCGGTTTTTTTTGTTTTTGTTTTATCAGTAAGAGAAATACGGGGGAGGATAGGGGGGAAGCGGATTGTAAACAAAAAATTACTACTACATTGTATTATTTTAATTCTTAATATTAGATTAAAATTCAAATAAAAATGGTAAAGTTATGGAAAAGAAAACTTTAAAAAGTAAGTTAATATGTTTTTCATGATAATAATAACTTTTTTAAAAAACAAAACAATGATAAATTAAAAAACCTAAATCTTTGTTTACATCGCATGTAAACAAAGATTAAGGTTTTTTAAACTATATATACCAATGATGGTAATATATACCAATGATGGTATATTAAAAAAGATTAAGATTTAAGATTAAACTGTTACTTTGGAATATTTTATTAACTATTAGTATCAGATACCAATGTTGTTAATACACCATGTATATAAAAATATACAAACAACATTATTATACTTTAAAGTAAAACATTATTGGCTTAAGCCAATAACGTTTTTGACAAAATATTTTTATAAAAATAAGCTTATTTTTGTAAAAATATCAAGATACTTTTACAATTATAAGTTTATTCTTATATCTTGTTAGTGTCTTTCTAATATACAGTAATATAATTTTAAAATACAGTAATATTATTTGTTTTTATTATTTTTTTTTTTTTCATACCTTTTTCTTGTTAGTAAAGTTGTTATACGTAAAGCAGAACTGATTTAATAACTTATTTTTATTGACTGTTGACAATTTCAAGATCTTTTTTTTTTGATTATACAATTTTTTTGTTATCATTATTCCAATATGCACAGACTACAGCTATTATAGCATAACTTTTATTAACCATTAAAGAAATATAAATAAATATATGTATTTCCTACTTATTTAATTATTACTTGTTGTGTATGGATTTCCCATTTGCTGCAATTTTTTAATTTTAGTATCTACCTTTTGTGTTACACTTGGTAAGTTAAACAACTTTTTAATATGAAATTAAAAAGTTGTTTAACTTTATTTCCTTTACAATATGTTTAACTTTATTTCCTTAGTCATGTGCTGCAACTATTAATTTAAAAAATTATTACATTTTATGTGTATGCATTTCTCGTTATTTAAAATATTGATTTTTTGTTACAACATTGTAATTTTAGTATCTTATACCTTTTGTGCTACACCTAAACAACTCTTTTTAATGTGCACAAATTTCTCATTGATTGCAATATTGATTTTTATAATATATTTTTTACCTTTAGTTCTTTATACGTGTGGCTACGCCTGGTAAGTTTCAAAACCTTTTTTCTTTTAACATGTGTATGCATTTCTTATCAATTGCGTATTCTTTTTTGCAATTGCATTTCTTATCAACTGGTTTTTAATTTAAACCATTTTTATATAAAAATTATTACTTTTTAGACTATGAATGCATTTATTACCATTTGCAATTTGTATTTTTTATTAAAACAAATTTTACTTTTAGTTCCATTTGTACCACCTTTAAACGGTAAATTTATAAATCTGGAATGTCTCTGATTTTTTACTGAGTTCCTCTTATTCCTATTTATATCATCTATTTAATACTTTTGTGTTTTGTTATCTCTCCAAGTGCTATAAAAGGAGAATCAGAAGCTTATACATGTTTGAGTTTTTATTCTGATTAACTTTTATTAAAAATTTCATTGATTCATTAATCATTCTTTATATATATTCAGACAAACTGTCTTGGTAAGTATTTATTTTAATTTTTTTAATTTTTAATTACATGAATTACAAATACATTAATATTTTATTTGTTTTTAGAGCTTACATATGAAGCTTATAGGTCATTTCGATCTTAAAACTAAAATCATTTACTAAAAGCCAAGACATAGAGTAATTACTATGTTTTAAAACATTTTATTATTATTTTTTTTTTATTAGGTTGGTGGGTTAAATATAATCATTTAAATGAGAAAATGTATACTAGTGCAACTTGTAATCTGGTAAAACAATTATGTATTGTGCTTTCTCTTTTTTAATAATTGCTTGTGAAAATGTTGAAAATGTCTTTTCTATGTGTTTTCTTTTTTATGTTGGTTGAGGGGAAGGGGGAAAACTATCCCTCTCCTCAAATTGTACATCACTAATGTATGTTCTATAGTAAAAAAAAATATTGCTTTATGTAATACAACAATATTTTCAATTTCATTTTCATATTTTCATTTTCAATGTATGTTGTATAGTTAAAAAAGATTATTTTTTGTCACGTGGGGGGAGGGGGGAGGGGGTGCATCATACTTCCTTCATTTCAAGTCAATGTGTGCATCAATAATATATGTTGAATAGTAATAAAAGATTTTTTTTAATTTTTAACAATGCATTTAATTATTGTAATAAAGAAAAAATTATTTTTATTTTTTATGAGTCGGGGGAGGGGGGGCGGGGCGGGGCGACATACACCCTCCCCTAAAGTTAGTGTTGTATATCACTAATGTATGTTTTATAGTAAAAAAAAATATTTTTAATTTTTAACAAAATATTAAATTACTGTAAAAAAGATTAAATTATTTATTAGAAAGTATGATTATTGTATTTAGGGTGTTATAACATCACAACCATATCTATGGTCAACTCTAAGATCACCTTATTTTGTTTGGCAGTGTTTTGGAATCAAGTTATGGCAATATTTTGTGTGTAAAATATAACAATTACATTTAAAAAGTGCTTATTTCTGACAAAAACTTGTATTTTCTTAAGGGTTAGATGGTGTTTCATTACCCCCTCTGGCTCCCAAGATACACCCTACATCCAGGCACCAAAATAAACTTGTAGCCCATTAGTGCACCTATCTTGTGATACCAAGATATAGGTATTTGGATAAAAATTGACAAAGTTATAACAATTTAAGTGAAAAAAATAATTATTTTGACCACAGTTTCTTCAACAATTCCATATATCTAAAATTTGTTACTAAAAATGTTATAACTTTTTTTAGAATTGTTCGTTTTTAATAATTTTTTCACCTTTAAAATACTGTATTAAAGGCCTTTCTAATGATGTATAACATTCTACTATATGATCAATATAAAAATTTCAGTGCACGTACCTAATTAACGTGCACGTACCTAAATAATAATTCTTCCTATTATTTTAAGTATATAAATCATCACTGTAAAAAATTATTGTTATCATTTATTATAACTAATTTATTGGTATCAACATAGTCATAAGAATATCCTTCTTATAAGTATATTCTTATACCATATATGGTACCAATTTTTACACCACATATATGATATATGTGGTTAAAAATTGGTACCATATATGGTATAAGTATATACTTATAAGAAGGATATTCTTATGACTATGTTGATACCAATAAATTAGTTATAATAAATGATAACAATAATTTTTTACAGTGATGATTTATATACTTAAAATAATAGGAAGAATTATTATTGTTAATAAAAAAAAGTAATTATAATACTTGTAGTAAATATTTTAAGATAATTTACAGGCCGATTAAACGGTCTAAAATAATTTTATTTTCGCATTCTCGTTCGTAGAGACTTTGCAAAATGTTTTTATAAATTTTATAATTTCATAATTTTTAAACTTTTTGTTATCGACTTTTATTTTAATTATTTTTTAAATTTTTTGGACTTGACAAAAAAAAAAAGCTTTCATCAATTTTTATCTGATATCTATGACTATAATTTCCCTCGTTAGAAAACTATTAATTTAATCATTTTTTTCAAAATGATCTAATTAATAAAACGAATTGACCAAATAAATTTGCATAGTAGACCTTTTCGCGTTTGCGAAATGCATCTTGGGTAATCAGGGCAAACAAACAACAAAGTTAGTTTGATTTAGTGAAGGAAAGCTGAAGTTTCTGCTTATTTTTAATGCCACTTAGATTTAGCTCTTATTATTCAATATTATTATTAGAAAAAATTCGATGTTTTATAAATTGGCTTTTTGATCGATAAAGATAATAAATATAAATTTAAACTGCCAAACAACTGAACTGTATGATGCCAAACTGCTACGTATTGTTGCTCTGCTGTTGATTGTAATTATGACTTCATTAAAGTCTTCAAGTATCTAGATAATTTATTTAAAAGAAGTCAATATTTTCGTGCCAAATTTTACTGTTCTCCTGATAATTTGACAAAAAGCAATCTTAATCATATTAGAAAAGATTTATTCTAATTCCAAGTCTAAAAATAATCAATATATATATATATATATATATATATATATATATATATATATATATATATATATATATATATATATATATTATATATATATATATATATATATATATATATATATATATATATATATATAAAGTAATAAAGCATTGTACTTACGAAATAGTTCCTTACGGAAAAAGCATTCCGGAATGTGTAGTTACGAAAAAGACGCAAAAGATTTTATGTTACGATATATTTAAGATATTAACTGTTAACAGTTTAAATAATAAATAATAAAATTATAAAAAAATGTTGTCAAATGATTCTTCAAATGTTTATACAAATATACCTAATATATATATATATATATATATATACATTAACGGGATTTTACTGTATATATATGTATATGTATATATATATATATATATATATATTCATATATATATATATATATATATATATATATATATATATATATATATATATATATATAATATATATATATATATATACATATATTCATATATATATATATATATATATATATATATATATATATATATATATATATATATATATATATATATATATATATATATATACATTAACAAGATTTTACTGTATATATATGTATGTGTATATATATATATATATATAATATATATATATATATATATATATATATATATATACATTAACAAGATTTTACTGTATATATATATACATATATATATATATATATATATATATATATATATATATATATATATATATAAATATATACTTATATATACAGTAAAACCCCGTTAAGTTGGACTCTCAATGAATAGATAAACAGTATGCCTTTCTTTTTAAAAAGTATAAAGTGGATGTGTGATAAACAATTAAATACTTTATTATAAAGAACGAGAGATCTCTCTAAAGGTAAATGATATCAGAAAGAATAAAAAAAGAAGAAATATATGTGAAACAGCGGGATGTGAACCTGGGTCTCCGCGGCCAAATGTCTTAACTAAATGAGCTATACGTTCATTCAACTAAGAGAATACTAATATTTATTTAATATATAATTTGAAACTATATAAAACAGAATTTACAGAAAGAGATACGTATGCAAATAGGATTCTATATATCAGGAAAATGAATAGTAATGTGAACCTTTAGATGCTTATAATTAATATCTGGACTCAAAAACTAGTTACTTTTAATGGAACACAATAGGCTGTAGGAGCCTCAGGGAAATTATATTCAGAAATGGTTATATTAGACTCAGAGTTAGCTAGAAATTATTACAAAGTATTTAGGACAGATGTCTAGTACAAAAAGCAAAAGATTTAAAGCAAAATGAATTATATTATTTGAAAAAATTGTTTTACGTACATTTCATCATAATTTAAGTAGAACTTAGTAAAGCAAGGGAAACGTGTTGAATTAAGCACAATGAACTCAATCTTAAAAGAATAACTAACAGAAGAGAGGTTGTCACTATTGTGAAGGCGACGAAAGATCTGTAATATAGAACATGGAGGTCAAAAAATGCTATCTTAAGTTAAAAGAGTTTGATGAACAAAAGTTACAATGGCTGCGGGATGCGAACCCGGATCTCTGCGGCGAATTATCACGTATCTAACTGATTGAACTATACAATCTTATACTCAAATTTATATCTTATTAAAATTAAAAAACAAAATTTTCTATGATCTATACTTTGAAAAGCGTATTCAAACAGGACTCTACATACCTTTAAAATCTGCTAGAATTTTAGTAACGTGCACACTTTTAGAAATTATTGAAATAGGTATATTTTATCAGAAATATGCTTAAGCTAAAGCATATTTTTGAGCCTCTTTTTACTATTTGCTTAAGCATATTCGAACCTGTTTCAAAAATTTCATATGCTTTAAAAAAAAAAACATGTATATTCCTACCCATCATTCTTATTTTTAATATACGTAATGAGTTCAAAAAACATCGTTGTATATATTTATTATGGCACGTTTCGTAAGTTTATTTCCGTTAAGAATTCTTTCGTATGTTGTGATCCGAAATCTTTTCGTTTCGAAAGAAATTTTATTTTTTATCAATATTTCTAAAAATAAAACCGTAAAAATTTAATAAGTTATTTTACTGAAAATAAAAATTCATTATAAACATTTTGGGATTTAAAGATGTTAATTTTTACAATTAAAATCAGTCTGGCAAACAAATTTTCTTTATAGACTTAAAACGTCGTTTGGCAAAAATGTTTGTTTCGCAAGTGCGACTTCCGAAACCGCTACTTTCGTATGCTGCAAAATAGTTTTGTTTCGTATGTCAACTTGCGAAATGCTAAATTTCGGAAGTGGCTTTTGTGAAATGAACATCGGCGATTTTAAATGTTTTGTAACATTCGGTACGAAAAAATGTAATTCTGTGTTCTCAATCTCCTTACGAAAGAATGTTGTTTTTCCGGAATTGCACGAAATCCTCCGGTTAACAACCCTAATTTGGACTGCTTTAGTATTGTTTAATAACTAGGTTAACAGATAACCTACTTCTGAAATAAAAAATAAATACTTAGCTATATTTATACATTTAATAAAAAATAAAAAATAATAATTTGTTCCCGATGGCGAACACTGGCAAAACGGGGGTGGCGAACACTGGACAAATTTAAAACGCCTATAACTTTTTTGTTTTTAAACGAAATTCAACCTAACGAAGACTGGCATATGGGTCAAAGTCCATATTTTACCATTAAGCCCATATACGCCACTTAAAGAAAAAAATTTACCTGGCGAAGACTGGACTAGGTACTATTATGTGTTCCAGTCTTCGCCACCCCCACCCCCCCCCCTAACCCTGCCCCCCTTAATTTTTTTCCAAGAATAGCCCTGGTACAATCTTCTCCTTGTTCTTCCCATCAATCTGGAATAAAAAAAGTGAAATTGAATTGATATTTAATATGTTTTTTATGTAATTGTTTAAAAAGATTTCTGAAAAAAAATTTTAAGGATTAAGGTTTTTTTGTGACACACTTTCATTCAAAAAAATCCTGAGAGTTTATTTATTTAGTTACGATCGTCAAACTTTCGTCAAATATAAAGCAATGATGGGCGTTCATTCTCGACACTATTTCGGCACTTTCAACCAAATAGTTTTTGACATGCATGTTTTTTAATGGAAAACTGGCGACGACTGGAACACCTGGCGAACACTGGGTGTTTTACCCTAGTCAATTTATTGTCGATAGTTAATTTCAAAAGTCAGCCAACAAATTTAACAGCCAACAGATTTAACAACGATTAAAACAATATACATGATCTGAGATTTGAAGTTTAAAATTTGAAATGTTTATCAATGTGGTTCTTAAAGTGATCTACTTTTTTTGATTCAATAATTTCTTATGTTAGTATATTCCAGTCATTTTTTGATTGTGTTAAACTTGCAGTTATTGTGTGTTTTTATTGCCATATATTAAAAATACATAAAGTGTAAAAATACATAAACACTTTATGTATTTTTAACTTATGGCCTCTTCCTCGACCATTCGTCGAGGAAGAAGCCATAAGTTAAAAATGAATATTAAAATATTCAATTGTGTTGAATATTAAAATATTCAATTGTGTTATGCAAATTTATTTCGTCAATTCGTTTTATTAATTTGATCATTTTGAAAAAATTATAACCCCGCCTTCTCCTGTTTTCTAACGAGGGAAATTTTA